GCCTCTTGCTCACTGTATGTCTGGTGTAGATTTTTTTTTTTTTTTTTTTTGTAATGGCTACCTGGAGTTCACTATGCTTTACTTAGCTGTATGCCCGATTATTGCTCCATGGTTTGGAAATTCTCTGCTATTATTTCTGCAAATAGCCTTTTTATATCACTGATGTCGATTCCTGGTGTATCTCTGACACCTATTAATCTAATATTGTTTTCTTTGAATCATCTTGCATCTGTTGAATTGTTATTTCCCAGTTCTTTGCTATTTTTAAGAAATTCTTTTTTACATGAACATTAGCTGCAATGCTGTCTTCAAGATCTGAAAGTCTATGTTCACATTTATTCAAGTGGTTTTACCAGTTTTTGATGGAATTTTAAATTTCCTGAATGAGTGTTTAAATATTTTATGCATTCTAAATCTTTCCTATATTATTCTTTCAAGGTTTCATGATTTGTCTACGTTCCTCTATTTTCTTATATATGTCTTCTTTATATGTGCTGAGCAATTCTTTCATTACTGTCATATATTTTTTTACCAGAGAGATTATTTCCAATATAATGTCTTGTGTGAGGCCACACATGGAGTTGTTTCTTAACTTCAGTTGCTATACTGTCAGAAATTCCAGGAGCATGACTTCCAAGCTCTAGTGTATCAATGTCTTCTGGACTTGTTCTGTGTGGGGTGGAGGTCTGAGATTGCATTTTCCTCCATAGCTTTGTCACTGGAGTCCAGTCTTACTCCCATGATGCTGTAAGAGTGGCTGGGCAAGGACCCAAAGTTTCCTGGTGGTCAGTGTCACTACCATGGTGGAGTGGGGTGCAGGCTGTGGGTAGCAACGCTCCTGAAGCATTCTAGGGTTCAGCTGGCCCTTACACAGGTGGGGAACGGTTGCATGTGCTGTCAGTGAGGCTTCCAAACCTGCCTGGGGCTCAGCTTTGCTACCACTTGGGGTTCCCCAAGGACTCCAATATACAGCCCTGCTTCTCAGGGTGTAGGTGTGGGTGGGGTTTTGTTTACCTAGATGTGAAGCTGTCTGAAACCCAGTCAGTTCCTGCTCTGGTGGGGGAGGTGTGAGGGCGCAGTCACCTAGGCTGATGAAGTTGTCTGGGTTACAGCTCAGCTCCTGGAAGTGTGTGGAGGTGAGTTGGGCAACAGCACCAAGGCCTCTGAAGCTGTGCAAGGTTCCACCTGACTCCCACAGTGGTACAGTTGCGGCCAGAGATACTCAGTGAGGTTCCTGAAGTTATGCAAATTTCAACAGTTTTCACAAGGTTGTGTCAGTGGGAGGTTGTCGTCAAGATTCCAGATGCTGCCTGGGACCCAGCCCAGTTCCAACTCCATTTCACAAGGGTAAGGTCACAGTCACCCAGGCTGCTGGAGTTGTGTTGAGTTGAAGTCAGCTTCTCTTGTTTTTTTTTTTACCCCTGTTGTCTTTTTGAGTCAGGGACTCACTGTGCTGTTCAGGCTGGACTTGAACATACTTTGTAGCCCAAGCTCTTCTCAGATTTGCAACAATCCTCCTGTCTCAGTCTCCCCAGTTTTGGGATTAGAGGGGTATACCACCACACCTGGCCTACAGCTTGAGTTCTTAAGAGAAAATCACATTTCCTTTTCTCTTGATTATGAGACAGTTTCTTGTTATGTGTATCAGGCTGGGCTTGAACTCACTAGTTAGTCCAGTCTGTTCCTGAAATCACAGCCATCTTCCTGCTTCAGGTTCCTGCGTACCATGATTACACATGTGTGCTGGTACTGCTGGCAAAACTCACACTTCTTCCCAAGTGAAGCCTAAGCTTCTCCATGAGGAAGAAAAGGTACCAAGACACCTTCTATTTTTGAGAATCACTGAGACCAACTTTCCCATCTCACATGGCACTGCTAGGACAGAACACAAATCATCACGGAGATGTGCCTGAGCTTCGGGTGCAGCTCAGAGACTGTGGATTTTCAGTCACCAATTATGACCTGAGAGAGCTAAAAATACCATACAGTCAGCTGTGGTGCCACCTGGAATGACAGCACTGGGTAAGAGGACTTTAGAAGATGAAAAGTTGGACCCCAGCCTGAGCAGTCACTGACTTATGGAGACTCTCTCCAGATAGAAAATAAAGTGTGTATTTTCTAATACGTGATAGGGGCTGTGTGTGGTGGTGCATGTTTGTCATGTCAGCATTTGGGAGGCTGACAGAGGAGGATCACAGGGACTTCAAGGTCAACCACGATCAACCATAGTGTTGCACACTTTTCACTTTAACCTGGACTTTTGACTTTAAAGAATGAGGCAGCATCCTTTAGTACTAAACAGGATTAGAAGGAGTTGCTGAATGTAGTCCCATGTTGATAGGTGGGTACACTGTTGCAGAGCTTTACCCCTCACAGTGACTAATTCAAAGTGTGTTAGTTTGGGAGAGCAGCAGCTGTGGTGCAGTAGACAAAACTGGCAGTGGTGGCATCATATCTTGGGGCTGGAGATGGTGACTGTCCTTGGGCAGAATAGGAAAAAGATTTTCTGGCTTGGGCTGAATCTGAGAGCCTCTCACATGGCCTTGGGGGTTTCTTTTGACAACTTGGATGGCTTATTTATCATTCAGGACACAGATGTAGGGCCAAGGTGAAAGTGTCTTTCATCCCTTATGGCAACTGAATCTAAGTGATCTGGCCTTTTGTCTCAGGACTTTCCCAGTTGAAGGGGCACATAGGAGCAGCTTGCAAGAAGAGGAAGGCATCTTTCCTGCATTGTTGACAGCATGGATGTCTTGCCCAAGCAGATTAACAGTCTATCAGGCTGATGCATATTTGGATGCCTATTTGTTTGGAGGCACATTTGGTAGCCAGGACCAGAGGCAAGTCTTTAGTCTATTCCTCTGGGAGGAAAGTTTTCACCACTTCAAGATTGTGGTTATCTTTCTCAGGCTGATGTAGGTGTCATTTTCTTCATGAGGGCTCAAGACAGACAAGCTTGGTGTGAAGGACATAGCCTCCCAGTCTGTTGGTTTGTGCTTGGCAGAAGGTGTGGGAGGCGGGAGTCCCAGTTATCCTGAAGATGGTAAGTTTTTGACACAATGAACTTTTCAAAGAGCAGGAATCTCTTCTATTGTCTATGAAGAAAGTTACAAGTTTGCCCCTGAATTTTGTGATGACTGGGGGCTTTGGTGACCCATTTTGATTCAGCTTGCTTTGTCCTTTCTATTGAGGCCTGACAGAGTGAAACTCATTTTTCAGGACTGATAATCCCATTTTTCCTCACTCAAAATGTGTAACTCAGAAGGAACTGTTGACAGTCCTCTGGTGTGGGCATTAGATGAGCCCATATGACCAGGACAGGCATATAAGTAGAAGACTCTGGAGAGAAGGCCTCTGTGGCCACATGTAGGAAATAGCCACATGGAACCAGTTCAGTATGTGGAAAGTAGACAAGTCCAGAATGGGAAGTGAAGGTATCGGTGTTGGGAGCAACTTTGGCAGTTGATGAAGATGCCAGGGCAGAATTCTCAGGAAGTACGGATGTCTTTTTCTTTTTGGTCTTAGAAATATAGGGAGCAGACTGGTTTCATTTTTAATTCTAAAAATACCCCTTTTCCTGAAGTCAGGGATTGTGGATTTTAACTAATTAGTTCCCATTTTATCTCCTACAGTGTATGTTGAGAACCATTGAATGACAGCACAAAGGGTCGGTGCCCCTCAGCAAGAGACTATCATGGCATGCAGGGTGAGCAGACCTCCATCCAGATGTTCCCAGCTGCACTCTTCATCATGTTTAGTGTTTGGCATTGATCAACTGTCCTTTGGTAGATAAATAGGTAACTCCTTTCTCTCTGTGTCAAGAATGGAATACCATCCTGCCATGAGAACCTGGGAGTATCACAGATGCAGCCTTAGCTGAATGAAGACAACCTGGAGGCTGTGGATTTCACTATTCTGGAAACAGCAACAGAAATGAACAGAGAGGTAACAGATGTCGCCAGGGAGGGAAACAAAGGGAAAGGTGGCTAAACACAGCCACCCAGCACAGTGGCAAACCACTGGCCTAGCATGTCAATCCCAAGCATAGAAACAAGGGAAAGAAAGGATCTGAAAGGCCACGTCATACTTTGACGCCTCAAGATTCTGCAGGCTATCCACATGGACAACAGACAATCCCACAGGTTTTCTTCTCCAAACATTAGAGAGTGCTGAGGTGCAAGTGGAAAGGCAAAGTGGACGTGCAGTTCATGCCTGTAGTCCCATCGCACTTGGAGTTTGAGCCAGGAGGGTTGCAGGTTTGAGCCTAGCCTGGACAACTAAGCTACGTAGTGAGATCCTGTCTCAAACAATAACCTTGCAAATGGAAGAGTACCAAAAGATGGAAGGGAAAGGAATGGGACATAGAAATAGTTAAGATGTACTATATATATGTACCAACCACCTATGATTAATATGATCATTAAGTACTGCATACACATAGAAAAAATGCAAAGAAAGGGATGGAAAGATAGCTCAGTGTGAACATCTTCAATTCAAATCCATATACTAACAAAAAAAATAAAGAGGAAAAGAAAGCTTCTCTATCCAAGATGTATGTAAAGATCATGTATGGCAAACATAATATTAAAAAATATAATAAATTCATAAATAAATTGGAACATCAAGTCATTTAGTCATCATGAAAGAGTTTGCATAAAGATTTCCTTTACTGGTCTATTTGTCTATTGAGTTTTGGTATAGGCTATCACCGTGCAGCTAAACCCTCAAATTGTAGGTGATCCTCCTGACTCAGCATCCAAAGTGCTGGGATTATGGACATGGACTTCCCTATATGGGAAAGTTCCCTTGGTGACCATTTGAAAATCAAATACATAGAACTAACTTCGGGCATATGCATGCCTTCATTATTTCCCTTGTCACTGGTACAAAATAGCCACCACTCACAATTTCAAAGATCAAAGGTTCATTTCATGTTATAATACAGTTCATAGGCAAGCCTGACAGAGGTTCATGGCAGGGAAAAAACAACTCATGCCGTGTATGTGGTAAAGACTCATATTTACAGAGGAATGAGGGAGTTCGATTCTTGTAGGCCATGTCCCCAGTGACCCACCTCTTCTGACCAGGCTCTACATGATCCAGTTACCACCAACAAGCCCACCTGTAATTGTAGGAGGCTTTAAGGGATACCTAGAGTTAAAAAAAAATATTAAATACGGAGGGGAGGGACAAAAATGAAGCACCTCATGCAAAACCAATGGGGATCCTCATTTCTAACTTGCCAGTTCCCACTGGGATTCAGTCTATAGAATTTGCATATCATACATGAATAACAGTAGGTACAGATCTGGACTTCAAGAGATGGCCTTATGTCCTTCAGAATTTGTGCCAGTTCAGCAAAGACCTGTTCAAATTACGGAGGGTTCATAAAACTTGTTGGACTATTGGACTCATAGATCTCCAGAGGGGCAGGATACAGCCCCTGGGTTAACTGACTCAGTCTAGAATTTAGGTGCAGCAGGGTATGCAGGCTGCTTAGGGAAAAGTGGTTCCCATAGCAACTGAAAGTCTTGAGCTGGGAGCAGCAGCTCAGGGCAGGCAAGATGGCAAGGAGCTGGGGGTCTGTGATGTCACAGTGCTCTAGGACCAGAGTCTCCAGGGTGCTGGACAGTTTGTGTAGAAGAACATGGAGGGTCTCAGGACTGAATAACTTCATCGAAATCCTCCTCAGAGTAAGGGACTTGAGCTGGCTTGTGCTTGCACACTGGGACATATGCTGCAGGTCAGATTCCTTCAGTGGACTTGAATTCAAGGAGAGGGATTCCAAGGGGGTCTGGCTCCTGCAAAGAGAGAAGTTATTTCCTATGAATGGGAGTGATGTGTGAGTTTCTGTAGGAATGACCTCAATGTAAGACAGCCAGTTAACCCTAATGATACCAGGATCATAGTATCATCCCTGGGATAGTCTATGTTGAAGGCATTGGTTATTTAAGTCACCACCACTTGTGTGATTTTCTCAGCCCGCATTCTCTATAGTGCCCTGTCATCAGCACCAAACAGAAAACTACAGCTCTGACCTGATGAGACCAGTGTCTGCCTTGCAGGAAGAATGAACCCAGGCATGTTGGGCCAATGGACTGCTGTGGCCTTGTGTTCTCAGCAATGAGTGTGCCCCTCTGCCCTGCAGTGCACTCTTCCTCACCCTCAGAGCCAGACTGTTGCACTTCCCACCTGCTCAACGCTTCACCTGGAACGCTGTTATGGCTTTGATGTTGCTGTCCCCCCGAAGCGTTATGCACTCACTGGTGGGGATTTTGGGAAGTGGCTAGATCATGGGTGTGGTAACTGGATCAGTGCAATGGTTGGTTTTGCATGGCTGTAGGGAATCAAATTACTGAGGAAGGTGGCACCAATCTGGGTGTCCCCTGCATAAGGAATAGCCTTGTAGGCTGGATAGAATATAAAGGAAGGAAGAAGGCAGCTTGCTTTTTTCTGCCCACCCTACAATGCACTGTTTCTTCTTTTCCATGCCTGCATTCACCTGTCTGTGGACTGAATCCTGTATAAATTGTGAGATTGAAAGAAAAAAAAATCCTTTCCTCCTTTCACTCATAGGTGTTGGGTATTTTGTCCTAGCAAGGAGAAATGAAGACAATCATGCAGCTGCCTTTTCCAAAGGAGGACACAGACACTGGCTTGCTCCCCATCACAGCTGCTGAGCACAACCACCAGTTCAATGTGCAGGTGTGCAGCCTGCCCCTCTATTCATGCTTTCCCTTCCCTTTTCCTAGGACCTTACCTAGATCTGCTTCCTAAAGAAGAAATGTAGTCTGCCCTCTTTGTCTGTTTCCTTGGTGCTGCCTTTCTGGACGTGGGGACTGCTCCAGATCTCCTAGCTCAGTTTAGTCTCTGCTTTTGCATGGGAGGAAACGTGAGACCTTGCCCTGCTTCAGACAGTGTGGTCCTTCCCACACTTGGGTAGCTTCCCCTACACAAGCAGAAAGGCACAGATATGCCTTCTAAATATTGACTGTAACCACCATTGTGCTGGGGAGCTCACCACCCACTCACCTGAGAATCTTATGCAGAGTTCCTTCCAAAAAGAACACTGCATCCATATGAAGCTCCCGGAGACTTTCCAGCTGTCCTAAGTGTAAAGCGTAGATACGGGAATAGGACTGGTTTTTTGAGGGTGAAGTGTACACTCCTGGACTCAGGCTGTTGAAGTGAAATGTGTGAAGGTTTTTCATCTTCTTAAGCTGAGAAAAAAATGCTTTCATGTTTTCATGATCCCACTTATGAAAGACCTCCAGCTCA